GAACATATTGATAGACTTAGATGCGTTTTTCAAAGACTTCGTGATTCAAACTTTAAAATCCAGTTAGATAAATCCGAATTCTTGCGGAAAGAAGTGGCGTACTTGGGCCACATCGTAACACCTGAGGGGGTACGCCCAAATCCGGATAAAATAATAGCCATCAAAAATTTTCCTATCCCAAAAACTACCAAACAAATAAAAGGATTTTTGGGACTATTGGGTTATTACCGTAGATTTATCAAAAACTTCTCAAAAATTACTAAACCACTTACTAACTGTTTAAAAAAGGGCGCAAAAATTGAAATTAACGACGAATATATATCTTGCTTTGAATATTGTAAAAACCTGTTGATGAACGAACCTATTTTACAATACCCGGATTTTTCCAAGCCATTCAATTTAACCACTGATGCCAGTAATGTTAGTTTAGGTGCGGTTTTATCTCAGGGACCAATCGGAAAAGACCTTCCAGTTGCGTATGCGTCGCGAACATTAAATAAGTCAGAACAAAATTATTCCGTAATCGAGAGGGAACTTTTGGCAATAGTATGGGCCACGAAATATTTTCGCCCATACTTATTTGGAAAAAAATTCAATATCATCACGGACCACAAACCACTACAATGGTTATTTTCGTTAAAAGACCCCAACTCAAAATTGTTACGTTGGAGAATAAAACTAGACGAATATGACTATACAATACTATATAAAAAGGGTAAATTAAATACAAATGCGGACGCTCTCTCCAGAGTAGAGATTCATACTAAAGAATTTCTTGACGACATAGACAAAATAATTTTAGACAGATCACAAGAAAATTCTAGACTTGACGAGATTATTCAAGACTTGAGAAATCTTGAACCTCATCATTCAAACTTTGACCAGGCATCCTTACAAGTACATCCCGACACTGATACTCTAAACGATTTAGAACCCCAAGATGAAAACGATGACGACACTGTACACTCAAATTCCGACGAAAATCCTATCGTAGGAATTCCAATTGCAGAATGTCCTGTTAATCACGGAATAAATCAAATTTTTGTAAGTTCGGTACTACATTCCCCAGCCATACCTAAAATAACAGTTCTTTTTGAAAACCGAAAACGAATCCATGTACAAATTTCTGAGTATAATTTCGAAAATGATGTGGTAAGATTTATAAAAGAATACGTATCGCCAGATACTGTATATCACATGTATTTCGAAAGTCCCAACATATACGAAAATTTTTGTAACATATTACATAAAAACTTTAAATGGCCTTTTATTAAATTGAAAAAATGTAACCAAAAACTACTGGATGTTACAAATAAAGACGACATAAAAGAAATCATACAAAACTACCACGAGGGTAAATCCAACCACCGTGGAATAGACGAAACAGTTATCAAAATCAAAGAAAAATACTATTGGCCAAGATTAAAAGATTCCGTGCAATCATACATTAACGATTGCGAAATCTGTCAAAAAAGTAAATATGAACGCAACCCCTTGCATATAAAAATGAATGTAACCCCTACAGCCACAAAACCCTTCGAAATTGTTCATATAGACACATTTACATTCGAAAAATCTAAATTTCTTACTATAATTGATAGCTTCTCAAAATATGCACAAGCTTACCCAATAGATTCTCTAAACTCTACTGAAATTGCTGACAACTTAATTAATTTCTTTTCGCATCATGGAACCCCCTATCAAATTACCGTAGATAATGGAACAGAATTTAAAAATTCTATAATTTGCGAACTTTTAGCACTACATAAAATAAATATTCATTTTTGCTCACCAAATCACCCTCAATCAAATGGTATGATTGAGAGACTACATTCCACTCTAATTGAACATCTCCGACTTCTCAACAACCAAGGGTTTCAAAATACCCCCGCAAAACTAAAAATGACATACGCAATCTTAGCTTATAACAACTCGATTCACTCTTCAACCAAATTTAAACCTATTGATGTATTGCAAGGACACGTAAGTAGTAACGACCCTTTTAGAATCGAAATTGATAAAATGTTATTGAATAATTACATTGATAATCATAGAGAACGAACCAAAATTTTGTATTCCAAAATTAATCAAGATCTAATAAATCGCAAAGATAAAATTATTGAAAAGGTCAATAAAAATCGCGAGGAACCCGATATGTTTGCTCCTCAACAAAAGGTTTTTGAAAAAAATATTGATAGACGAAAAAACGCTAATAAATTTAAAAAACCGGTAACTTTAAAAGTAGTTAGAAATACGAAGAAAACAGTAGGTACTCATACACAAGACAAAATTCACATGAATAATCTAAAACGCCCACTCAAAAACACGTATGATTTTAAAACTAAACAATCTTAATTTTCTTTAGATATTTTGGGACCCTCGGAGCCTCATCCAAAATTACAATGAAAAATCTGGAAAATAACTTTGGACTCATACCCGTCAAATTAGGAACAGCTAAAATAAAAGAAAGTTATTTTAATCTAATTCATTATTGTGACTTAAATCCGATAATTGTGGAAATTGATAAATTGAAAAATCATTCAAGGGATCTAAAAACTCATGCCTCAAAAAACATATATTATTCAAGCGACATTGCAAATTACTTAAAAATCTTAGCATTCACCGAAGAAAAAGTTGAAAGTAAACTAGTTGAAATTTTACCTCCTCCTTCAACTCATAGGACAAAAAGAGGACTCATTAATGGGCTAGGATCTATATTCAAAGCTATATCAGGTAACTTAGACTCCACTGATGGAGAACGGTATGAACTATTAATAAAACAACTCCAAGAAAATCAGAATAACATGGCCGTAAACATAAAAAACCAAAATTTGTTGTCAATTTCACTAATAAATAAATTCAATTTAACCGTTAATCAAATAATACATAATGAGGAAATTTTAAAAGAAAAACTAGAAAGAATCGCTTCAGTTGTAGAAACAACTATCGAGTTAGGAAATACAATAATAATAAAAGACACCCTTATTCAAATTATTAATATGTTGGAAATAATTATTTCAATATTGCAAGATATAGAAACATCTATATCATTCTCAAAACTTAATATTATGCACCCAACTATCATGAAAACCGCAGATTTCTTTAAGGAATTACAAAAGATTCAAAGGAAATTAAAGGGCAGTCAATTGCCACTTGAAGTAACTTTAGAAAATATTTTGATATATGAAAAACTGATAAAAATCGAGAGCTACGTATTTAACAACAAAATAACTTATATAATTAAAATTCCCTTAACGACTATTGAAAATTTTGACTATTACCATTTGTACCCTGTACCAGTCGAGAAACAGGGTCAGTTAAAAGCAGTGATTCCAAAAAATAATTACTTAATAAAAGATAACTTCAATTACGCATTTATGAGCAAGCCTTGCCTTAAGCTACACCCAGCAACATCATATATTTGCGGCGAAACTAACCTCCAAGGGATCAAGAAAGAAAATCCATGCGAAATAGCCCTCTTAAATATCCAAAACACCTCCACATGTCAACAAACACGAATCACAACAAAACAAGCTTTGTTCGAAAGATTAGATCGAACAAATCAATGGATAGCAACTTTCCCATCAAAGGAACCAATCACCCTTCAATGTCATGATCAAACAGAAGTCATTGAAGCCATAGGCAGTTACCTCATTCAAATTCCAGTCGGCTGTTCAGTGACCACAAAACAGAAAAAAACCGCAAATGAAGAAAACTTTCAAACTTCAAGTCAACCCATGTTGTTTCCCGAACTACAATTCCAAAATTCTGAATCGTCAAAATTAAATCTCAATCTTGAATTAGAAGAAATTAATCTAGATGAACTACACCAAATTAAATCAAAATTCGTCGAAAATGAACCAATAACCAAGTTCCAAGGAGTGCGCTACACCCCCAGTATATGGACAATATTTATGTATTGTTTTTTGGCCTTACTAACAGGAGTTTTTGTTGTTAGAAAAATCTCAACTTATCGTAAGCCAGTAAATCAAGAAGAAGTACCAGTAGACCATACCACCGTTCAACTCCCTCGCTAACCCTTTGGAGTTGAATCTTCGAGGGGAGGAATTACATCAGCCCTAGTAACAGATCCTGCAGATGTCGGCGTTATCAGAGTTACCAGTTTCTAGGAAACCGCTGATTAGGACTTTATGCATTTTATCTAGTTTTCTCATTTTTAACATCATTATACATTTATATTTCTTGTAGTACAGATCGTAGTTGTAGAATTTTAACTTAGAAAAAATAATTAAATTTTTTAAAAAGCTATTTTCAATTTGAAAGTTTATTTTTCGTTCGTTTTGTTTCTTTATTTTTTTGTTCAGGGTTATATTAACTATATCCACAACTAGGGTGGGCGTTGAAATATATAATTTATTTTTTTTATGTTGTAAATATTTTAAAACAATATATGTGTCAATGTTAACTTGCCGTATTACTGGTTACTAATTCCATTTTTTATTCCCCCTTGTATTTCAGCTAGTGATAAATTATGTACCAGCCCAAGCAACGATTAAAGCCCGTTACTTGTGGCCTACTATTACCTGTGTCTAAGTGACCTTTGTCCCCTGAAATTTTTCATCTCCATCTGTAGCTACCCGAGTACTTTCGACGCCGTTTCGAGAGTTTGTGGAGTAAACCATTACCAAAAATCTGGCGCTCGAGAACCGCCCGTAACCAGCGTCATTCGTAAGGAACCATTTTCTCTGTGGCGAGAAAACCCCTTACAATGGGAACAGTTAGGCCAAGAAATAATTCGAAATGTTATTGCCTAGACGTTGTGCTAAAATTCGGCGAGTTAGAGGAGCTCATACATTCTATTATTTGTATTTTTTAAGGCAAATAACAAAATATATAGTTATAGTGAAAAGTCTTGGATGTAATTATATAAAAAAAAAAATCATAAAGTTTACGAGCATAATTATAATTGGCTCCTTTTTGGTATTATTATTTTTGGCATTTGAGATTTTTTTGTAATCAAATGTTTATTACATTTTTAGGAGCAATAACTTTAGACCTTAACAGATTCCCTCGTGGTGCTAAATCGTCAAAACTGTGTACTCTAAACATGCTGAATATGGACGGTTCCGTACCTATGGTCAACATTTTCAAACAAAAAAGAGTAAAAGGCTGGTGGCCATTTTTCATCAAAAAAGATAACGAGGAAATGGAGCTGACGGGAAAAGTAGAAGCTGAAATTCATTTGTTAAGTAAAGAGGAAGCGGAAAAGGCACCTGCGGGGTTAGGAAGGAACGAGCCTGATCCTTTAGAAAAACCTAAGTAAGTTAAGAATTTTATTGCAATTTTAGCCGTCCTGTACAATATTTATAACTCATGGTAATAATTTATGTTATTTTCAGTCGTCCAGATTCATCGTTCATGTGGTTCATGAACCCTCTGAAATCGTTAAGATACATCATATGGCATAACTATAAATGGACTATTCTTAAACTATTTATATTCATAGGACTAACTCTCATTATTCTACTATTCTTTTACTCAATTCCTGGTTACACTGTAAAGAAAATGATTGGTGCTTAAACAATGAGAGCTTTAAATCTTAACACGTAAAACAATCAAAATATATTATGAGCTTGATGTACTAAATCTTTAGTGATTTTTTATTTATTTTTTTGTAAACAACTAATGTCTCGCAGTTTTTTTTTTATTGGTTGTATTATATATTTTTTTTAAGATCGACCGCAAAGTATACACTTTCTGAACAATTTTTCATCCAGAAAATAACGTTTTGCCGATCAAGACCAGAAAGTAGACGTTAGGGACCGGTAAAAGTTTTACCGGTCCGTTTTTCATTTGCCTTAATTTCGTTACTATGGTAACAACGTTCCGATTTATTGCCAAGTGACAGTTTATTGATTTTAAATTTGTTTGTGACAATACACAGACTAGCGGTATGTTCCTGCGCATGCAGCTGACTAACGGTGACGTCACGTGAGACATAGAATTCTAAGCATTAAAAGGAAGATAGTGTTTAAAATTCGATATTTTGCCAATTTTAGATTTTATGCAGTTACTTTATTGGTTATTTAGTAATATGTTCGTTTACAAATATGAAGGTTTAAGGTAAATAATACTATTAAAATATTAATTTTTTTCATAAATTATAGGTATTTTGAGAGAAAATACATAACCTGTCCATAAGATAAGTAAAAGATACAGACAAAAAATACAAGTTTGACTCAAATTTGTACTTTCTGGGCGTGGTAGTTCTCTTGCAATCTCTTTTCTTAATATGTGAAATAAAAATGAGTGTGCAGAAACAAATTATTTATTTATAAAAAGTAAGCACACAAAAACATTACTATTTATTTGATAAATTTAAACATTTTTTGTCAAGTTTACTTTGAAACTACTCGAAACCAATTTTTCTGTTCATTAATCTTATTCTTATATATGTTAGTGTCCTGCTCGTGCATGGCATTACTCCAAAAGGACCGGTGTATTGGGACAGGAAACTACTGTTATGTCTGCTAAAATTTTTAAATCTCACAACTACTTTCCTCAAAGTGGATGCGGCAACTTCAATTAAGTTTGACATTTCTTCGATAAGAATTTACCCATATTTTGTGGCTGTTCAGAATGAGTAAGACCTACCTGGTTTACTCTTTTCTATAAAAAATGGAGAAGTTCTTAAATGACTTTATTTAAAATTATTCTGACAAACTCAAAAAATATATATTGTCAATCATTAAAAATAAATTATGTTTTTACATAGCAACTATATAAATAGACTACATATAAAACAAATATACACAGTAGAAATTAAAAATTTAAAAAAACCGACTTCAAAAACGTGCAGATGCCGTCACCACATCTTAACCAATTTTACATGGGACCACCCTTGAGGTACCCCCTTACTAACAAAAAAACAATCATAGAAATCGAACAAGATGGTAAAGCATTATCGCTAAACATACATAAAAAATGAAGAGTTTGAGGATTTTCCCATGGATCCAATTATTAGATTTTAACCAAATTTATATGGAACCACCCCTGAAGTACCCCCTTTCTAACAAAAAAAGAATCATTGAAATCGGACACTGTGTTAAAGAATAATCGCTGAACATACATAACAAAAAAAAAAATATCGCGACGAATTGATAACCTCCTCCTTTTTTGAAGTCGTTTAAAAATAGTCCAGGATCCGTAAATAAGGTCGACCTTCACCCATCTGTTTAATGGATAAGTTTTTTTTTTTATTAAATAAAATATGTTTTTAAATATACCGCAGATGGGTTGCCTAAGAAAATACGGTCACGGCTATTTTTTGCTTTCCTTTCTGTGTACAGATAAGGAAACTATAGGAATCATGATAAAAGTTGCTTATGATGTCATTCTCTATTATTTTGTTCCTATACATGTTTTCCCTAAAATGAACCTAATTCGAGATATTTGAGGAAATGTGCAAATTTCGAATTTTGAAGACAACTCAAAAACGGATAAAGAGAAAAACACCAAATTTTAAACTTAAGCTTTAATCCATCCTGCGGTTAGCTGATTAAAGTTTGGGCATAGTAAAAGCATCTGGGGAATACTTTACAAGTGTCGTTTTTTTTTTTATTTTAAGAAAATAAATAGTCTGGACCGTATTTTCTTAGGCAACCCTTTTGTGGTATATTTATAAACATATTTTTTTTTTTAATAAAAAGAAACTTTCATCCATTAAACAGATGGGTGAAGGTCGACCTAACTTCGGATCTTAGACTAAAATAAAATAAGTATTACTCTCATTTCCAACAGTGGCATTCGGAAATATCTCCACCGCGCAATCCGGAATTTTAAAACTTAATTTAGATTTTCCGTTATATATAGGAAAATATAGTCACTACTAACACAAAAACAAATAAATTATTAATTTATTTCACACTATTCAATCGAAAAGTGTCAAAATAACTTGAAAGTTCGTCCCGCATTATGTTATGCGCGGTTTGGACGAATTTTGAATCGAACGTCAGCATACCATAGTAAGTGTATCGTGGCTTATGTTAAACTTGTGTTCGCAAATTTAAAAATATGGATTCAGATTTTGAATTATCAAATGAAATTCCACAAGAAATTTTGGAAGCAGCAAAAATGTACATTTAAGATAAATATTCGAACAATGTATTTGGTTGGTTTATGCAGTTTTAATCATTATTTATTTTTAGTATTTGTTAATCACTTTATTAAATAAAATAAATAATTGAGTTGCATCGAAATGTCAGTCTTAAAAAAACATTGTACGTCAGGTCTCTCAAAGCTTCCAGGTCTCGCCTACGGCTCGCCCTGGAATCTGCTTGTCTCGACCTGCTAAACACTACTTTCCGGTCTTGTAACGTAAATTACTATTACATTCCGAAAACTAGTTCTATATTAAAAAAAACAACACAAAGTATTTTTTTAAATGTATATATTCCAGCTCTGTTAAGGGCATAAATAACTTATTTGTAATTAAAATTGATACATAAAATTAGGTTTAAATTTTCTGGGTTTAACTAACATTAGTAAATCCTAGCTCAAAAAAAAAACAATATTCAGTATTCACCAAACATAATTTTAATTATATAAGGTACATCGTTATCGTACTAATTGTCTGAAATATATATTATAAAATGTGTATTCATCATTAGTCAAATTTTAAAGCACCACCACATATAGATGTGGATTTATAGTGTTTTAAACAAAAATATAGCTTGAATTTATTTACTGTGATGTTAGTAAAATAAAGTAAATTTTCCCAAGCAAATAAACACCATTAAAATAATGAATGTATATTAAAAGTTTAACTCAATCAAAATGTGTGATATAATTGTTTTAATATTTGACTTTTCATAGATTTATAACAAATGTCTTAATGTTTTAAAATATGTTATAAATATAAAAATGTTCATTTGAATTTTGTTTGTAGACATTTATGTGTATTATAAAATTCTATAATTATTGTTATTTAGGATAATTTTCATAATAGTTTATATCATTGAAAAAAATATCGGTACAAAATACGTGCAAAATATAATAATATATATAGCTTTTATTATCTCGATTATTCATATTTTTATCATATTTAAAAATAACACTATAGCACTTAAAATATGTTATCACAGATACAAATAAAAAGATTATTTTTAAATCTTGGTCATTTTTTTCATACTCATTCACTACCAATTTCTCCCTTTAACTGTTTATAATAATCAACTGGATTACTAAATATCACGTTATGGTCAAGTATTTTATTTGTTTTCATGTTATAAACAGTTTCCAGAAATATTCTACACGCCAAATTTGGATTTTCTTGTCTTTCATAAATCATTATTTCTATTTCATCGGGCTTTGTTGGCAAAATACATTTTAGAGTGTTTCTCAAATTATCATCATCGAATTTTTTAAATGGACAACCTCCATCCTCTCTAGGCCCCAAAGTTTTTTCCTTAAAAAAAAAGAAACAAATTATAACTGATAAAAACTAAATAACAAAATATTTAGTATATTCCCGCACGAATTTAAAATTTGGCCACGAGCGACAAAGTAGCGAGTAGACGAACGATTGAGTGTGTTTTTTATACTATTTTTATGATTTTGGGCTTTACCGTTTTTATTTTTTTAATTTTTTGTGGTCGTTGTTAGTTGGGGATTTTTTTTCGCAAAATATGTCACTTGTTAACACGTAGGTACTAACCAACTGACAAGTGGAATTTATTTACTAGTAAAGTAACGAATGTCAACTGAAAGATACTGATAAGTTTATCACCAAAAATCGTTTAAGAATGAGCTTCGTTCTTCAACGAGTTTGCGTGCGAGAATTATTATACAAAAATCGAGAAAATTAATGTCAACTACATAAAACTATAAATTAGCAACCGGTTTCGACGCAAGGGTCATCATCAGGCCTAGAAAAGTAACAAGTAAAGGAACGATCAAAATTTGGGGATACAAAGTTAACCACACAGTGTCATCAAAATAATATTAAAGATAGATTCGACCAAATAAAATAACAAATTGCACACTAGCAAACAGACCTGTTGGGAAATTATGTAAAGTGATGAAACTAAAAAAATACACTAAATATAAATTAAAGAAATAGTTATTCAAATATTAAAAGAGGAGAACTGTGGGTCTCCTAAATTAGGAACTCCAAATGTGATGTTCAATATCGGCATGAGTAAAACTTCTTAAAATGCTGAAATTCTGAAAAGCGAACGATTCTCACCTTCAATAAAGGAGAACTGAGCATTGATGTTAGTGAGGATTATAACATAAAACTCATCAGATTGTCGATTCGGTAGTTTGGAACAGGGATCCCAGATGTACTGAGCCTTAAATCCTGAATTTGATTATGAAAAAACCGTGAGATTGTACAACGCATGCGCAATTTGGTAAAATATACAGCATTTTCGATTAATACGTAATCTGTCTGAGCGGAGAGCAAGGAATAGCCGAGTTTTGACTATCAACATCGTTCTAACACGTATAATAGAAAAAGAAAAAATAATTTTCTGTCATTTTGGCTCTTCTTTCGAACAGATAGGTTTTAATCAAAATAGCTATCATATTTTTGGGAGTAAGAGAGAGTATTTTTGTTTTTTCCAGGACCATCTAAATGTCTCAAAATACTTATTTTGAATTTTCATACAAACCTATCTAATAAAGAAAAAATAATAAATTTCTTAGGAATAGGTGGTTAGGGAATTGACCACTGTAAGCCTGCAAATGCAACAGTCGGGAACCACCGCTGAGACTATCAGTCGTCCGCCATGTTTCGGTCAAATCTTTCCAGAGTCGGACTAGCTCTACAACATAATTCAATTATATTGTCAGAAGTTAAAAGAATTAACTTCAAAATTATTGTTTAAAATGATTTATCACCCTGTATACTAAAACACCCTGTATAGCCAATTCACAAAACACGTGTTTTAACATGATTTTATAATGTTTTATTAAATATCTCGTAAACAATGTTTGAAATGTAATTAATTAAGGAACATAATAAATAATGTCTTTAACGGCATATTGCCTATCACTTCATAGCGTTCGGCTGGTCGAAAGTCAAGTCCCCGGTCTCTCCTGGTCCTGGACACTGCAACGGGCAGACGTGGTACCGTCGACCCTAGTGGCGGCGATATCCTAATTCACTGACTCTAGCAGGGCAGACGTGGTACCGTCGACTACAGTGGCGGCGATCAGGGGCGGCTCGTCAACAAAATTTTGGGGGTTCACAGTAGCAGAATATAGATCCCGGTATAGATATGGGTAAAAAACTGTCAGTGTTTTAGAAAGGTATATTATAAACTTTCTAAAACACGGAAAGTTTTTTCATACATCTGTACTGATACCTTTATTCTGCGACTGTGAACCACCCCACGAGCCGCCACTGGCGGCGATATCCTAATTCGCTGACTCTAACAATGCGCTAGTTCAGTGTGATGTCATTTTGGTTCCACTGACATTTAATTTAACCAAACTTTTAACAAAAACCTCAATAAATTTGACATATACGTTTTTACTGTTTTTATTTTATTTCAAAATATTGTTTACAGGTCATAAAAAATAGTTTAAAGGTATGTAATTGGTAACTAAACGATTGTATATTTGATACATGCTATCTACTTACTTTAGGAATATATTTATAAAAGTGAAAAAACTATATAATTTAGGTAAACAAAACGCACTCAAAAAATTTACTGTCACTTTAATTGTCAGTGGAACCATAATTACATCATCACTGAACTAGCGCATATGATTAATTAAAAAAAATCCTAAGAATAAGGTGCATTATCGTGAGATCGTGAGATGTGTGTGATTAAGGACTCTTAGCGGCTGTATCTCAGAAACTATTTAACCTAGAGCTTCGAAAAAACAAATAACAAAGTTGGTCAAGAGAAAATGCTGGAAATTATTTTCAACTTTCTATTTTAACCGTTAAAGAGCGTAATTCGCTATGGCAATGCAAAAAAATCACTTTTCACCTATAAATTTCCAATAATAGTATATTAATAAAAGAACGCTAATTTTGAACAAATTTTACAAAAGTTTTATTCAACAATTTCTGCTCTATTCAACAAAATGCCTTTGTCTCGAAAAACGGAGATTTAATGGATGTCTGAAATAAAAGCTGCAATAGAATATATAAAGAAACTTAAAACCTATGTTATTCAGACACCGAAGAAGAATACCGGTTTCTAGACTTTATTTTATCAAGTTTGTATTAAAAGAAATATGTAAACTGTCTATTAATATATAAACTTAGTACAGATCACTTAGAGCTATTTTTATGCAGTATAAGGTGTAATAGTATTAGTTTAATTGTGTGATTAATTATATTTTATTTCTAGGGCTAGGTATGAATGAAACCATAATCCTTTATCTGTAAAAATTTTCCATTCATATAGACTACGATTACTTCTGTAGCATGGCATTAAGAATCTTAATGGTTATTGTATTCGTTATAATTCCATCGATATTTTACAAACTACACTAAAAAGTACAACAACAGTAGCTATAGTTTATTACTACTTTCATACTAAATATAACCAAGAGAAACTTTAGAAGATTCAAAATTCTTGTATGAGGTTTACTTGTAATATTCCTTATAGAAATCATGTTTCTCCATACATTCGCCAGTTAAATGAATATAAAATTCAGGAAAGGGTAAAATATTTGTATTTAGTTTTTTGTATAAAATTTTAATGTTTAAAATTCCACAATATTTACCTAATATCTTACTATGAAAATCAACTTTGCACAATGTAAATTTAAGAGTTAACACTTTTACAACCCCAATGGATAGAACTTCAAAATTCCAAGGTTGTTTTAGTTAGGTACGTAGCACCATTATTGTTGAATTCAGACATTAATAATTTAAATTTGAATTTTAATAATTTTGTTAAGACTATTAGGCAAGTTCTTATTTCAAGACAATGATTTAATTTAAAATAATAATTTTTTCTGTTATAATGAGGATAAATTGAAAAAGGGCTTAGCCGAATTCATTCCTTTTGAGACACTAATGTATTTATATTACTTATTTAAATATAGTGATGTTCACATTGTCAAAAATATACAGTATGTTAAGCCGACGCATCAGGCAAAATAAAGAGGAGACGCTTAATTGTATTTGGGATGCGAGAGCAATAAAGATAGTAATTGATCTGATCACACCCTTTCGATGGCAAGCATGGGATTATTGTGGTCCACAAACATTCGTATTATTCTATTTCTCTCTATTCAATAACATTGTGTTCTATAATGTTTTCCCTGGGGTATTAAAGGAACGAATAAATAGAGAACACCATAGGCTCTGGTTGGAATTTCCTGGACTTAGATAGTCCAAAAGATTCATAGAGGGGCCATCCATGAGCAGACAAAATCAACTGCTAAACCTTAGCAGAAGCGAACTCGAGGCCGTAATAGGACTCCTTACGGTACACCAGTGGCATTAGAAGACACCTAAATCTCTTAGGGATATCTAATGATTCCCAATGTAGAATATGTGAAGAGGAGGACGAAAACTCCTATTTACATACTATGCCACTGTCAGAACAATTAAATGGGAACGGGAATGGTACTTCGGGGTACAATATCCGAAACCTGAAGAAATCGAGAAAGCGCCCATCATCAGATAGATAGATAGATAGATAGATAGATAGATAGATAGATAGATAGATAGATAGATAGATAGATAGATAGATAGATAGATAGATAGATAGATAGATAGATAGATAGATAGATAGATAGATAGATAGATAGATAGATAGATAGATAGATAGATAGATAGATAGATAGATAGATAGATAGATAGATAGATAGATAGATAGATAGATAGATAGATAGATAGATAGATAGATAGATAGATAGATAGATTAGATAGATAGATAGATAGATAGATAGATAGATAGATAGATAGATAGATAGATAGGATAGATAGATAGATAGATAGATAGATAGATAGATAGATAGATAGATAGATAGATAGATAGATAGATAGATAGATAGATAGATAGATAGATAGATAGATAGATAGATAGATAGATAGATAGATAGATAGATAGATAGATAGATAGATAGATAGATAGATAGATAGATAGATAGATAGATAGATAGATAGATAGATAGATAGATAGATAGATAGATAGATAGATAGATAGATAGATAGATAGATAGATAGATAGATAGATAGATAGATAGATAGATAGATAGATAGATAGATAGATAGATAGATAGATAGTATAGATAGATAGATAGATAGATAGATAGATAGATAGATAGATAGATAGATAGATAGATAGATAGATAGATAGATAGATAGATAGATAGATAGATAGATAGATAGATAGATAGATAGATATAGATAGATAGATAGATTAGATAGATAGATAGATAGATAGATAGATAGATAGATAGATAGATAGATAGATAGAATAGATAGATAGA